TAGAGCTGACCTGGGACGGGGACAGTTTTCTGGAGGTCAGCGTACCCAGGATGTACCGAGGGAAGCTCTGCGGGCTCTGTGGCAACTTCAACGGACATGGCAGAGACGACTTCATCGGAAGGTGACATGCTCTCTTCTTGTGTGCATATTTTTGTCATAGTTGCTTAGATTTTACAAGGAAAAAAATCAAAGTTTGGTACTAAACTATTATGAAAATATGTGTAGTTATTAGACCTTTGAAATCGAATCACATTTTGCAAGCTGTTTCCTCACAATGTATGTTAAAAAACTAATCATCCACAGAAGGTTGCTGTCCTTGGTTCTGAATGCCATCCACATACATTGTATCTGGTACTGTTTTATCACTGAACAGCTATACCAACATAAAAAAAAACAAATGGATGCAAATGAACTTACATATAAAGAGACTGGATACAAATGTCACAATTGAACCTACACACTAGTATATAGATACAAAATGTTTAGTTTAACTTATCATTACACTAATGGTTCTAAAGTCAGAACAATTTCATTTATTTATTTATTTATTTGCCTAGTTGTACACAGTAAGGGGTATCTCCTCCTTGTATATTATTTTATGTTTGTGTCTGTGTTCCAGTGACGGGCTGTTCAGATTTAACGTGAATGAGTTTGCAGACAGCTGGCGGGTGGGAGAGGAGAGTAACTGTAACCGTCCCAGTAAGAACCAGATCCCGTCCCCCTGTGGAAACAATGTCTACATGAAGCTCCGCGCTCACAAACAGTGCAAACTCTTCAGGTCTCGCATATTCAGCAGATGTAGCAGAGTGGTCAAGTTTGATAGCTATTACAGGTAAGTTGGTTTGTTTGTTCTGCATAACACTAGCCTCTACCAGGCTTTGGGAGGTGGTGGGAAAGAGTAGAAATTCAGCAGATTTAGCAGAGTACTCAAGTTTGACAGTTATTACAGGTAAGTTGGCTTGTTCTGCATAACACTAGCCTCTACCAGGCTTTGGGACGTGGTGGGAAAGAGTAGAAATTCAGCAGATGTAGCAGAGTAGTCAAGTTTGATAGTTATTACAGGTAAGTTGGTTTAATAGAGTAGTTTACTAGTGTTAACAGCAGAACTGTTACAAGTGTTTGAGGTATCCCAAAAGCAGAACAAGTCTGTGTTGTCTTCAAGTTTCCCACATGTAAAATATGGCTTACCTGTGAACAGTCAAAACATTGGGCAAGTCCAATTTCTTGTGTTGGGACCTGTATGAGTAAACTCAATGTATGAGCAACCTTCACCAACGTACAGGTAAGTTTGTTTGCTTGGTTTGCATAACTGGTGAACTGCCTTTGGCATAACACACCTGGACTGTCCAGATTTGTGAGTGCAAGAATAATTTATATTACAAACTGTACAGATCTCAGATATTCAGCAGATTTAGCAGAGTAGTCAAGTTTGATAGTTATTACAGGTAACATTACTAAGTTTCTCTGTATGGTTTGTATAACTTGTAGGCGTAACACAAATGTTGTGAAGTTAGTACAAGACGAATCTACCTTATAAAAGACTATGTAGCATAGGATGGAAATTAAATTTGCTTTTACAATTTATACATTTAAGAATGTTTTGAAATATTGTCTTATACTATGTACAATGCAATATGTACTTGCTATTTGAATCCATTGAGAGATCTTGTATAATATAGAAAATAGCAGACTTTTATATGATGAATAATGCATATAGAAACATCTGGTAAGTCATATTTTACAAATGGGAAACTTACAAACACCATGCAAAAGATTCTGGGATAGAAAACGACATAATGTGTATGATAATGTATAGGCCCCTGTTTTCTGTATGTGTGAATATAAGGTTTTACTATTTCCTGTTTTCCAGATCATGTGTCACAGACATGTGTGAGTGCCCCAGCAACAGAAACTGTTTCTGTGAGTCTGTACGAGCTTACACAAGCGAATGCAGAAGAAAAGGAGTAGAGGTAGACCTCAGTAGTCTCACAGCTTGCCAAGGTATTAAAAAAATATGGTTTGTGTGTTTGTGTGTGTGTGTATGTGTGTGTGTGTGTGTGTGTGTGTGTGTGTGTGAGTGTGTGCGTGAGTGTGTGTGTGTGTGAGTGTGTGTGTGTGTCTGTGTGTTTGTATGTGTGTGAGTGTGTGTGAGTGTGTGTGCGTGTACGTGTGTGTAGGCGTATCTCAGTAGTCTCACAGCATGTCAAAGTTCTCTTTTTGTGGCATTTTGTACATTATTCTAGTGGTGTTTTTCTACCTCTTTTCGGCCATCAAGTACACAAACAAAATACCACAAAAACACTAGGGAAAATGCATAACATGGAACCGATGGTGAGTTCAGCACCAAGGAGAGGTCCATACCTATAATTTCCAAGCACTGTTACTGTTTACAGAACAGACCTGAAACTTAAAATATTCACTTATTCTCTTGTTCTATCTTCCACAGATACAAAATGTACTGGTGGGGCAGTCTGGGACACCTGCGGACCAGCTTGCCCTCTGACCTGTGCGAACCTAAACTCGGTAGAGCGGTGTAACAGACCGTGTGTACCCGGGTGCCAGTGTCCTGCAGGCATGGTCAGACATCACCACGTGTGTGTGTACCCCTCACAGTGTCCCAGGCTACTAAGGTAGCAAAATCTAACATGGTGCCATAATGTGCAACCATCAAGCAAATTATAGCTCCATGGAGGGACCCAGGCACAGTCGTTGATGTACGATTTCGATGCTGCGGAATTTTCGAGCCGTCTGTGACAGAACCTAGCCTTTAGGGTTGCTGCTACAAATCGGATGGCACCCAGGCTAGACAGAACCAAACGCCAACCAAGGATCTAAGACGGCATTTTTTGGTAACAAGACAGCTGAATTCTGCAGGACAGGTGCAAGACTATCCCAAGAGTGCCCTCAGTTTGTAATCGTGTAAACCCTATGTCTGCTTGGACATTATGTTATAAGGTTGTCCTGTTGTGCAGGGTCATAAAAGAGCACTCTGGGTACGAGGTTGGGCAGGGTGACATCGATCGTGTCAAATAAAACCGGGACCACAGGCTCTCTACAAAAACTTGAACTTCTTCATCATTTTAATTTGATTTAGAGGAAATATGCCCAACTAGGAAAGCTTAGGCCATGTTGATTCTATGGATGACATCCTCTGGGAACCCCAAAAGTGATGCGCGCGTGTGAATAAAAAAAGTTTGGCAAAAAAACAGTTGCCTTCATTATGAAATCTAGGTAGTCATGAAGGTTGAACAAATTTTTTTATTGGCATGGTGATTAATACTTAGACTCTTCATTTTCATGCCTTCACATATTCTTCTTGTCCTTTATGGAATAGATTTTGTCATTCTGCAATATAACTATAATTTTCAAGTATTTTTTTCCAATTTACGGCATATATTTGCTCATTTTACAGCTACGACGAGTTACAGTATGGTTGAAGAAATTTTCTTTTGGAAACGGTCAAAAATTCATGTGTGCACGCATGTCATCCATCAAATCAACATGGCCTTATTGCAAACAATGTGCGAGGACCGTGTTGATGCCTTAGTGCACTTCGTTTTATGAAATGTTTAAAAGCATATTCAGACAACTTTTCCTCCCTGCATTCTGCTTTTGTGATGTCGGCTTGCTAAATTTTTATCTTAAAATGTCTGAGAGCCAAGAAAGTAAATTGGTGTGGGCTTATTCACCATATCAGTGACATAGTTTTGATTGTAAAAAGAGGCCAGAGGTCTCACGAGATGTAAATATTACAGGAATTGTTTATTCTTATTATGATTGTCCATGGAAACTATTGCCTGATAAATAGTATATTATAGTGCTTGTATACTGTCAAACTTTAAATTGCTTTGCCATGCTTATAAGTGCTAACAAAGTACATATCTGTCATATATGTCCATGACATATTCACATATCTATATATTATGTATACGAATGTGTGTAAATATACTTGTTATAATGATTACTGAATAGTCAGTTCATAACTTGTTTATAAAGTCAGCTATATTTGATCATTTTCTTGTCTTTGACAGTGTTTTTGAATCCAGCAGTGACCTGAAATACATGTATGGATTCCAATTTCTAACATGTGTGTCTAAAGCTTTGTTGTGGTTGCCAGTAAATTTGGAAGCTAACTCAATTATTGTATGTACAGATACTGAACAGCCAGTTCCAGTAATTCTGAGGCACATTCTGCTTACTTTGAGCTGCTACATGTGCTAACAAAACCTTGACAAGGGAGTCCTCAGAAATTTGTTGTGTAAAGAATGTGTAATAGGACAGATAAAAACACACATATTATAATGTTCAAAACTAAAACATATAGACTGCAGTCACCTCTAATAGCTGATAGTACAGTTCAACAAGAGTTCCACAACTTCATACCTTTGCCAATAATGTTTAAGGATGACATAATGATATTATATATCACTGATTATGTAGGTCCTAATACAGCACATAGCACAGTTCAATTACAGACAGATTATGATGTTCCAAACTCAAACTTATCACACTGTAGACATATTGAATAGAAAGTAGTACAGTCTTGAATTACATGTAGCTTATAATTCACAAACCTAAAACATGATATACTAACAAACATGTACTCTACATCCATGTGAAGTAGTATAGTTCAATTACACACAGATTATAATGTTCAAAACTAAAAATACATAACACTAAAGACATCTCAAATAGCAAATAGTGCAGTCCTGTATTACATGTAGCTTATAATTCTTAAAACTAAAACATGATATACTAGCTAAAACATGTGCTCTGCATCCATGTCAAGTAGTATAGTTCAATTACGTACACACAGATTATAGTGTTCAAAATTAGAACATATAACAACGCAGACATCCCAAATATGTGGAAATAGTGCAGTCCTGAATTACATACAGATTATAATGCTCAAAACTGAAAGCTGACTGCACTACACCAATCTCAAAAGCAAATTGTTCCAAACTAAAAGATTGAAGTCATTTTAAGTAGTAAATCTGTGCCACAAAGACAGTAAACGTTTGGCCTCCTTCAAAGCACTTATCAATACATTCATTACGCATGTTTCTCGGGTGTTCTTGACCTACGTCAGTATAGTGAAGGATATATAATCTTACTTAGTCAAAGACCCAGTACCTGTCCACCAAACCACCCAGCAGCCGCTCCAGCCATTGCTCCTATCGTGCTCCCTAGCCCAGGGATGGGGATTAGTGCTTGTCCCAGGGTAACTCCAACATTTCCAATGAGTGTTGCGGTGGCTACCTTGCTCTGCGAACTCGTGTGAACGCCCGTTTTACACCAGGTGGCAAAATGCTCACAGTTGTGTGTTAACAGGGAATATTTCGCTTCGCCAAGTTTGCTCTTAGCTCTCCGGACAGTTTCATCGCGTGACAAACATTCGTCATAATCTATGCGGTATACTCTACCCGCCTTAACGTCGAAGTAAATATCTTTCCTGTCTCTACGAACTATTGCTTTAGGAGCCCCTGACTTATTCCTGCCTGAACTTGACCTGCCTGAACTTGAACTGCCTGAACTTGAACTGTCTGAACTTGAACTGCCTGAACCTGAACTGCCTGAACTTGAACTGCCTGAACCTGAACTGCCTGAACTTGATCTGCCTGAACTTGAACTTACCCCCCTTAGAGCAGGACAAGCATCATTGGTTAAGTGAATCACAGGTACCTCTTCAAGATCCTCGGGGTCTTCAGCCACAATCATGTGATGCATGTACACTCCGTTGTAAACCGCAATCTGGTCTCCCTTGTCTAGATCTAGTACGCTGTCTACGTTAGTTTTCTTGAATGACGGCATGGTGTTTTTTATACGGAAGATGTGCTATTGGTAGGAAGAGTAGTGATACATTCTAAGTTCCAGCCACGAAGATGTACGATTGAAATACGACTTTGCGCATATCAATAATCAAATACACAACATGATAACAATGACAATAACAACCCAAGTCCTTATGTAAATAAACAAGCACAAGTAGTCAAAAATGTGAAAAAAATTATATCTTTTGTCACCAGATCTAGAGTCTCTAGAATAATTTGAACATTTTTTACGTACCTTTCTAGAAAACGTGAGAATGACAAACTGTTGATCCACTCCAATACCTAACAACGGCGCTTCGCTGCAAAATAAAAAAAACATCTGTTTTGACTAGAATCGCAAAATTATTAATCTCCAAGCAGATCTCTTTAGGTGGCAAGACAGTAACCATTAGCCAGAGAAGGTCACCGGCCACCGGCCAAAAAACGGCCATATGTAAAAAGCTGACGATCATTCCCCCACAACCTCTGCTTGGAGAGTACAAATTATATTTTAAACCAATGTTAGATCATGATCCTTATCGCAAAAGACACCCTATTTCTTGTTAGTTCCGTAAGGAAAATTTCACCCAAATCCACCCAACATTGTGTCCTATTTTTGACCATTCCAAGTATAAAGCGAAAATTTTGTAAATAAGGACGATACATCACAGTAAGGATTGTGTCCATTCCAACGGCTCAACTGTTAAGATCAAAGCAAAACGAACATGTACATGTCTTGAAAAACGATGCTTAGAATTGTACTGTCCTTTGGCGTTACATACCTGTGTTGCTCATCTGATGGTGCAGTAGACAGGTAACAAAAGGCAAGGACCAGGGTTCCACCCAGGCCCCCTACACCCCAAGCAAGCTCAGGTGACAAAGCTTTGAAGCCTCGCGCCTTCTGTTCTGACTTTCTTCCTGTAACCATGCAGAAAAACAAAATTTCCAACTATCAGGGATACACAGCCAGTGGGGCGCTAAGCCCAGTCCTTTCTATAATGTTGTCCTTGTTAAAACCAAGGAGGTGAAAAAATAGACCTCCCTTTTCCAAACTAAAGGGCGGAGAAACTATCTGAAATATAAATGTCACCTCTCAAAAATGATCAGTCGATCAGTTGAAGCCTACTGACCAGTGTCACGCTTGCAGTAGTGTCGATCGTACAGCACACCACACCACACCACACTATGCAATAAAATGGCTACCTGAGCTCAATTTTTCATCATATAAAGATGTTGTGAGGAAATAAATAGAACTTCATTAATTTCTGTATGACGTGAATGGGTGGGTGGGGTCTTAGCAACAAGTGGGTTTTAGTGAGATGACCTGTCTTCCCTAGGGACTTTCTTTCGAGGAGAGCCACCATCAGAACGTCTCACATGTCACTACATATAAATGTTTAGTTGAGTGAGCAGGTCAACAATGCAAGACTTAAGAGACATTTGCCTTGTTGCATTTACTTCTTTACTATGGGAATTGCAACTTACATTTTCCTTTCCTTATACAACACATGCATGCCTGTACAATGGTCCAGTGCTGATAATATTCAATACTACGTGTAAAATTTATAATATGAAATGAGTCACTTGTTTTGAAGAATACACTCAGGTATATCTAAATGTGACGTTTGAAGTGGAAAGCCATTACAGGTGCCCCTTTGTATACCTTCACAACACCACACCCAGGACAACAATAGGAGTGACGTGTGGTTTATATACTTGACGTGTTTCCATCAATCACAATAAAAAATTGCTTTTGACAGGAATTTGGGTCTACGTCTGGCGTCATATCCATGAATGGATGCAGTCAGCTGTTATCAAGATGCATGTTATATAGAATGAATAGGTGTTACAAATGGCTTTCATAATCACACACTGGTGGTCATCATAAAAATACGACAATGAAGACAACCTCTAGCTGGAGCCTAACGTCTTCTGCTTTCCACTTTCTTCTTGTAACTATGCAGATAAAAAGAAAACAAAATTTCAAACTAATCGGAATATACGACGGATCCTTGGAAATACAATCTGAATGCAAAGCCGTGAAAAGGTGAGTTAAGCGTTGTTTTGCAAAGAAATGCAACGCAGGAGTGAAGACTAAGGAACGCAGAGGGACTGGGTAAGGCGAAACAAAAGCCACAACCAGTGGGATGCTAAGCCCAGTCCTTTCTATACGTAGTAAAATTCCTTGTTCCAGACTTAAGGGTGGGGAAACTTAGCCTGCGTGCCATCCTAAGTAGTATTCGGCGGCTCCCCAATGTTGCTAGCTACCCAAGGAGCGGGAGAATACTACGGAGGATGGCACCCAGGCTAGGGGAAACTCTCTCAAACAAAACGAAACAGTCATTCATGAAACGACCAGTTGGTCAGTTCAAGCCTACTAACCTGCCTGCGGTACGCTTGTACAGACAGCTCAGGTCTGGTTGGTCCTAACACCACTCCTACAACGCTATATGATGGCTATCGCGGTGTGTTTGTTTCTAAAGGAGCAGTCAAAACTCAGACACGTAATTTCCCCTGGGCCCTGGTGTTTTTCTGTTGTTCAGCCCCATAAGACCACACCCACTTAAAAATGAAAGTAAGAGTGATCCAGTTTCATCTCACTGAAGAGCTACCATTCCACAGAGAAGTCAACCACTATATACTAAAGCATAGTCCAAGGACAGGTACTATGGGCTACTGCTACAGAAAGTCAACCAGGATTTCAGAACCAAGGACATGTACTACTTGTAACACACAGGCCCAGGCTAATCTGTACAGAACGTGTTCTGTACTGTAAGTTCGATTTAAAGCACATTAGGTAACTTTAGGATGATAAAGAAAGTAAATTTTCTGGTCATTTGTTTACAAATCAAGTTGAATCAACTGTACTCCTAGAGTACCATTCAAGAAGTGGAGGTACGAAAATATGATGCCTTACGCGGATGTTTAAAAGCTTGAAACACAGCTGTCAGTTGTGTCTGTTAGTCTGGTAGTTTGTGGTGGCACCACAAACTAAGTGCACCTCGTGTGGGCTATTTCATAGCTAACCATAAATGTCAGAAATGTGAGGTAATTACACAATACGTTGAAAAGTAAATTACAACAACACTAGATAAAATATTTCAACTTTCGGTGCAAAAAAATGTTACAAACTGTCCCTTTAAGCTCCCCGAAACATCTGCTTGGAGATGCGTGACGCAATGGTTTGGGGAGTACCATTATTTTAGGGGTTCTTCCTCGTCCGGGACTAATTAGCTAATTAACATTACAGTGCTTTGAATTAATGAGCTGGCCATATTCCCACAATGCATGTCTTGAGGTCTTTATTTTGGCTGGGAGTAAACAACCCAACCAACCAACCAAAAACTAGGCCGTTTTGCACCCCTGTTTGAAAGCCAAAGTTGGTACGCTCCAGTTCAGTTCAGTCTGTTGCTGTCACGTCGTGCGTGGGTGTTTCCGATACTTTTTTTTGCAACTTTTCTGGAGAATTTTACGTTATTTCTTAAGAAGTTTCTTGTTTTAATGTGTGTAGCAACCGCAGGGAAGTTTCTGTGGTGAATTCGTGCCGTTTTCTGGATGTTCTGAGGAGAAAATACGGGTTTCCTGACCAGATGGGGGGGGGGGGGGATTTCGAGTTGAGAGCGCAAGTTAATCCTATACTCAAGAGATATTTCTGCCTTGTCTTGTTAAATATTTGGATATTTACTCTTCATTGTGTGTGTGTGTGTGAACCATGTTAATATATACATGTACTTGGCGTGTTTTGTTAAAAACATGAAATATTAGTTGATATTTGTGCAAGAAAAAGGATTTCTTTGTTTGTCGCCACGTGGTATTTGCCCCACCTGTTGGAATGTTCCGCACGTGGTCTTAATTAAATCGCTCGGTTTTCCCGCCAAAATGCGGCGTGGTCCGCAGTACTCCAACTTAGTGTTGAACAGTAAGCTGTGGGTTTAGCATTGCGGATTTTAGGGCCTTTTTTCATAGCTTTGGAAATAGAAGTTGACGTTTATTTCTGTGCAACTCCAGGGTCGAGAGAAGCTGTAGGCGAAATTGACGAACGGTCGGCGTGGTGTTGCAAAACTCGTCCTTGTATTCTTGTATTTTGGAGAGACAACAAAATGGAGAGACAACTGCATGTGGAGACTCGTTCATACAAGGTAAAACAACAATTTTTTTTGGTCAAAATAGTTTTGGTCAAAATAGTTTCCCAATGACTAGCTGGGGCATGGCAAGCTATGGCCTGTAAAGTTTTAGTAATTTCACCGTGTAATTCGTCGAATACTGGGTGGAAATTTTGAGTTGAGGGCGGCTAATATCATTACAAGGTTATTTTTTTTTTAAAACCGAATTTAACGTCATTTTTCCCCAACCGGGGGTTAGACGTGCTTGCACCAGGTACAAGTCTGTTTTGAAGCAAGATTTTTACGGCTGGATGCTCTTCCTAACGCCAACCCAAACCCTAGTAGGGCCCAGGAACCCTCTAACTGAGGGGGGAATTGTGTGTTAAGTGCCTTTCCCAAGGGCACAACGTCTGGGTGCAAGTCCGGACATGTCTGGGTCCAACCCTGGGGATTGAACCTGGGTCTTCTTGCTTGACAGTCGGACGCTCTATCCACTACACCACACAGATGCCACTGTTATGAGGTTATGAATAAGACAGTGCCCAAAAACGTGGTACTGAAACCACAGGAAAAGTTTCTACATTGACAGTAGAAGCAAGCAAACATTCAAAATTGTTTTTCCCCCGGCAGGTAACATCAACCAGAGCTTGCTGACCCTGGGTCGTGTGATCACAGCCCTGGTGGAACACGCCCCCCACGTCCCCTACAGGGAGAGTAAGCTCACCCTGCTCCTACAGGACTCCCTCGGAGGCAGGACCAAAACCTCCATCATCGCTACTGTCTCTCCAGCTTCCTCCAACTTAGAGGTAAGATGGATTCTCCTGCACTTTTTTGCTTGCACCAGCCAGGTTGCCCTCAGCTCAGCTAAACTAGTACCTAACACCCTGTAAAATTCTTAAAATGCAGACCCAGGGGGGGAAATGATACTATCCCATCATCCTTTGCAATACACATCCCACAACACGTGTCCCAGATGGCTGACTGTCAGCACCAGGCATATAGTCTTGTCATGTTTCTTAAAAGTGCAGCAATGGCAACAATTTGACCAGTAATTTTTGGTTCTTTGAATTATCAAAGGACTCAAGTAGTGTATGAGGCTATCTGACTTTTGTAACTTATGTACAACTTCTTACATTGTGTCTTAAACATTTATGCAAGCATTTGTTTTAAAAATGGTGCTCGAACTTCACCAAACTAAAGTGCTTTTCTACAAACTCTGTTGATTGGTGATATTATACATCTTGTGCATCAGAAAACCCCAAATGCACCAAAAAGCACCCATGGGAAACAGAAGAAAATATTATATTTGATATTATTTATGTAATAATCATCAACAATGCAATTTCTTCCGTTTCCCATGGGTGCTTTTGGTGTCATTT